GACCAGATCCAGGTCCAGGACCACATCCAGGACCAGGTCCAGGACCCGCAGGTCCAGGACCAGGACCAGGACCAGGACCAGGACAAGGACCAGGATCAGGACCAGGACCAGGACAAGGTCCAGGACCAGGACCAGGTCCATGAGCAGGTCCAGGACCAGGACCAGGTCCAGGTGGGGTCTGGGTACCTGAGCGTCGTGGAGCTGGGAGGACAGGCTGGACACGTCTCTGCCCAGTTTGGTGTTCTTCTCCTCGGCTTCGCTCAGCTGAGCTGTCGCACTGTCCAGCTCCGCCTGGACAACCAACCAAATAACCAATCAATTGATCAATAAGTCAACCAACCAATCAATAAGTCAACTAACCAACAAACAAACCAATCAACCAATCGATCAATCAATAATACAATCAACCAAGCAACCAAGCAACCAACCAATTAATCAATCAATTAATCGATAAATAATTAAACCTACCAATCAATCAACCAATTAATCGATCAACAAATTAATCCATCAGCCAATTAATCGATCAACCAACCAATCAATAAATCAACCAATCGATCAATAAGTCAACAAACCAATCACTAAGTGAAGCAACCAACCAATTAATTAATAAGTAAACCAATCAATGAATCGATCAATAAGTCAACCAACCAACCAATCAATAAGTCAACCAACCAACCAATTAATTAATAAGTCAACCAATCAATCGATCAATAAGTCTACCAATCAATCGATCAAAAAGTCAACCAGTCAACAAACCAACCAACCACCCAATCAATCAATTAATAATTCAACAAACCAATCAGTAAGTCAACCAACCAATCAATAAGTGAACCAACCAACCAATTAATTAATAAGTCAACCAATCAATCAATCGATCAATAAGTCAACCAACCAATCAGTCAATCAATCAATAAGTCAACAAATCAATCAATCAACCAACCAACTAACCGCCCAATCAATCAATCAATCAATCAATCAATCAATCAATCAATCAATCAATCTATCTATCTATCTATCTATCTATCTATCTATCTATCAACCAATCAATCAATCGATCAATAAGTCAACAAATAAACCACTCAAACAACCAAGCAATTAATAAACCAACCAACTAATCAATCAATAATTCAACCAACCAATCAATCAACCAATAATTGGATCAACCGATTAATTGATCAACCAACCAAAAAAATAAAAAAACAACCAACCACCCAATCAATCAATAGATCAATAATTCAAACGACCGACCAACCATTCAATCAATAATTCCACATACCAACCGACGAATCAATAAGTAAACCACTCAGTCAATCAATCCATCAACCAATCAATCAATCAATCAATCAATCAATCAATCAATCAATCAATCAA